TTTTTGCTAATCAAGGTTCTCGAACTGATTTTGTTAAATAACCGTAGTGTTACTGCAAGATTGTTATGGTGATGTTTTCCACAAATCTTAATGCGCTATTCTTAGTAGTAACTTAAGGGTTGGTCTTTGGGTTGCTAAGGGTAGTAGGGTTTAGAGTTAGGGTTGGTCTTAACATGAGCTAATATGAATGGGAAAATAGGGAAGAACCGTTGGTGGACCTCTTCTTCAGCCTAACCCTGAGTTTAATTAGCAGTTTAATTTCAGAATCAAGGCATAATTAATTAATTAATCAGATTTGTTCAGTTTATTTTCTATTAAAAACTATAAGTATTTTCAAAATGGTTTAAGTCAATTATTATTGTCTATGTTTTTATAAAGTTTATCGTGTGATTATTTTTGTGTGTTTGTTTCTCCCTGAGTGTTCTTCTGAGTTCGAGTTGCTGATGTAGTTCCATCCCTAGACTGTTATCCTTATTTTTATTTTATTTGCATTTTTATCTCTTTAGAATTATCAGTCAAACCCCCCATATCTTTTAGATTTAGTTATTTAGTTTTAGTTAGTTTTTAGTCAATAAAAGTGACAAAGTAAATTGATTTTCATAGCTTAAAAAGTATCTTTCCTCGTGGGATCGACATTTACTTGCCCTATCTATATGTTTTAATCAATATTAATGCATAAAGGGGGTTAAGAGTTAAGGAAAATAATTAATTAATTTGTAGGTGCTACAACACGCCTATCACCTTCCTCGGGCACGGGACAACCAACTCAGAACTGGTACGGACAAGGGGAATTCGACTGTTTAATTAAAACAAAATGGATATCTAAACTATTTGCGCTTCTTTAATTAATGAAGTATCAGTTAGTCAAGCAATGCAACTTTCGACGTTGAGCCGGGGGTCTCTTTGGAAACAGCCTCTCTACTTTCGAGTAGGGGCAAGGTCTGCGTACACACACCCTCCCTAGACCCTACCCTTGTGGGATTTTACTGGGTTGTTGTTGTTGTTGTTGATTTTGAACTCTTTAAAGAAAATACATGATTTCGAAAAACTCTAACATTAATGGATCAGTCAAGTTAGATTCAAATTCAATCGAGTTCAATCTATTTTTAGGAGGTCATTTTAAGTTCTAGTCTCTTTGGATTCGTCTAACGAAACACATTGAAATCTACTTGAGTTCATCCCATGGTGTAAGAAAGAATCTTTTAAAATATGATTTCTTTAAAAATACGGAGTAGGAAACATAAAAAGTGTTTTCTCACAAATTTTTCTTTTATCATGAGTGAGGTATCCCTCTCCCTTCCTCCGTGCTTGGTAAAAATGTCATTGTTTTCCGAATCGATGGTCATCAATACTAAAAGTAATCACATTGTAAGAAAATGCAGCATTTACTGTAATTCTGTAAACACTGATACTCAATATAGAACAAAACTAAGAAAATGCAATCCTCCAAATCCTTGTTGTTATTCTCCCTAAATAAAAGATCAAGCAACAACACATCATGCCTATCCTATATTGATATGTTACAAAGATCAAAAGCCAAAACAAACTCTGTCTTTGACAACCTAGCGCTGTGATTGGTTATAGTCATCTGGTTCCTGTTGTTACTGCCGACTAGTTCTGCACACACTGTCAATATGCCATTGGCATCGATGTTGAAATCAACATCAACCTTAGCACAACCATTGGGTGCTGGAGGAATGTTGTGGTGGGAAAATTTGCCCAGGAAGTTGTTGTCTTTTGCTATTGGCATCTCTCCCTCAAACACATAGATGCCGGCAATGGTTTGAAGGTCAACAACAGTTGCGTTAGTGTGCCTTGTCGTCTTTGTAGGGACGGGGGTATTCCTTGGAATCACAACAGACATTTCACCGCCAAACTGCAACACAGGAGTAAGTGGTTCCAAGATCGATTCCCATGGCCGGGCCTTCTCTTCCTCTTTTAAGGCTCTCCACCATTGTCTTCCACTTTTCTTCTTCTTCTTCTTCTTCTTCAATGTGGCCCGTAAACTACTGTAGTGGCGTTGGCTTTTTAAATTGTCCCGCCTCCAATAATGTATTCAAAAACCCTGACCTATAGCAACTCAAACGGTCATGTAAATTTTAAAAAAATTCCAATAAAATTGTACCCTTATTATTTATATGAAAAATGGAGAAAAAATAGTAATGAGTGTGAATCACAAAATAGTGATGTGGAAAAAAATAAAAATAGAAGTAATTTACAGACTATAGTTATAATAATAATAATAATAATAATAATAATAATAATACATGAAAGACATGCTCCCTCAGTCCTAAAAGTCTAAAACGTTCTTCCCAGTTACTATTGATACAGTCAAACTTTAATCTTACCTATCTTTGTAAGTTATTTGATAAAATAATATAATTTTAACATCTTGTTTTGTAGAACTTTTGATGTATTTTTTGAATATAAAATTTTATTTTTAATTTTACACCTACAATCAAATAAATTGAATTGAAAATAAAATTAGTCAAATCTCGTAAATAGAAAAGGAAGAACATTTTTAGACCAAGGGAGTATTTTTTAGAGTCATTATTTGAGAGTAAAAAAGATTTAACAAAATGGAAATCGTTAGAAAAATTGGAAGAAACGGAAAGGAATTGAAAAAAAAACTAGAAGAAACTGGAAAAACAAGAAAGAACACTTCAGATAATATTCCGTTGAGGAAGAGAGAAGATTGAACACTTCAAATAATTTAAAAGAAAATAGAAGAATGAAAATGTAATATAATACTCCCTTTGTGTCATAAAGATGTTCTCATTTTGACTTTTAGAAAATTTAAAAGAGAGATAATTTTGTATTGATTTTCCAAAAATATTTTTGATGTGATGGATAAAAGTGAGATATGATTGGTAGATTATTAATAAAAAAGTTATGATGTAGTAGATAGATTAAAATTAATATATAGGTAAAAGTAATTTTTAAATTGAACATGGACAGATTTCACGAGACAAGAAAAAAAGAGAAAAGAGTTTATTGAAACGGATGGAGTACATAACAAGTACTCTAGGACAGAAGTATGGTTAGAGAGACAGGTAAAAAAAATACGGAGTACTTCTCTGTCTGAAATAACATCTGAAAATCCTTATTATATCAAACCCTTTGGGGTGCTGTGAGGGAAGTAATTCTAAAGTGTTGTTTGGATAAACTACAAGAATGTACAAACACTGTTTATACTCGAAATACCATTAAAACAAAAAATAAATAAAAAACAAAACCTAGCCATGTTCATCTTCTTACTTCGTCCATCTGAACGCTAATCTCCCTAAACAAATAAAAAGGCCAAACAACTACCCATAATGCCTAGCCTATGGCATAGACGTGCAAAAAGACATCAAACCTCTATATATAGCATCTGCCACTGTCAGTCCAATATCTCAATAATCTCAGGCTTGACACAGGTTTTGACAGACTTACATAAGACCTCGAGCTCCTTCTTCTTCTCCTCAAACTTGGTAGAATCATCGAGAACGTTATTCCAGTCCAACCATTGGACCGTCTTCTCAATTGCATCTCTCAAAGCTATCCTGTCTTTCATCCCTACCCTATTTCCCCTACAAATGTCCCTCATGTGGTAAATGTAACTCTCTAGAGCATGTTTAGCCACGGCTGCCTTCTTGCGCTTCTCTTCTTGAGCCTTGTAATCCTCGGCCTCCTTCACCATCCGATTAATCTCCGCCTTTGACAACCTAGCACTGTGATTGGTTATACTGATCTGGTCTCTGTTGTTGCTGCCAACTAGTACTGCAGACACGGTCAAGATGCCATTGGCATCGATTTCAAAATCAACGTCAAACTTAGCAACACCTTTGGGTGCTGGAGGAACGTTGTGGAGGGAAAATTCGCCCAGGAAATTGTTGTCATGTGCTAGTGGCATTTCCCCCTCAAACACCCGAATCCGAACACCTGTTTGGTTGTCATGAACAGTTGAGTAATTGTGCTTTGTCATCTTTGTAGGGATGGTAGTATTCCTCGGAATCACAACAGACATATCACCGCCATGCACCCAAATCCCAAGAGATAATGGAGCAATATCGACAAGCACAACATCCTTATTCATACCTAAACAAGCACCAGTGAGGGATGCAGCATGAAAAGCTGCTCCACAGGCAACAGCCTCGTCTGGGTTTATACTCTTGCACAGCTTCTTTCCATTGAAGAGTTCTTGCAACAGTTCCTCAATCTTAGGGATCCGGGTGGACCCACCAACCATAACAACATCATGAATGTCCCCCTTCTCCATTTTGGCATCCTTTATACACTTTTCAACTAGTTCCATGCATTCTTTGAACAGATCCAAATTCATTTTCTCAAACCGCGCACGGCTGATGCTCGAAGAGAAATCAATGCCCTCAAAGAGACACTCGATGTTAATGGACGTTTCAATAGCTGAAGTGAGGTTTCTCTTGGCCCTCTCACAAGCCGCTCTCAACCGCCCTAAAGCCCTAGGGTTTCCACTCAAGTCTTTCTTGTGTTTCCTCTCAAACTCAGCTACAAAGTGGCTCACCATTCTATTATTGAAATCCCCTCCGCCAAGGTGTGTGTCTCCATTAACTGCTTTGACTTCAAAAACATCCTTCTCCAATCTGACAATAGAGACATCAAAAGTCCCACCGCCAAGATCAAAGACCAGTATGTTCTTTACAACAGGATCACCACTTGCAGATCCTTTCTTGTCCAAACCATAGGCGATTGCAGCAGCTGTGGGCTCATTGATGATACGCAAGACATTAAGCCCAGCAATGATACCGGCATCTTTTGTAGCTTGACGTTGTGCATCATTGAAGTAGGCAGGAACAGTAATAACAGCATTCTTTACTTGTTTGCCTAGATATGCCTCTGCAATAATCTTCATCTTTTGGAGGATCATTGAAGATATCTCCTCGGAAGCAAATTGCTTCTCTTCACCATTGCAAGTCACCACTATCATAGGCTTCTTCCATCTGGGCAAGCTGTGACTTTGAATGGCCAGAGCTTCACGTCGTTCTGCACCATTGCATCATCAAATTTTCTGCCAATCAGTCTCTTCACTTCTGTTATTTATACACAATAAAAAATAAATTAATGTATAAAAAAGTGGCCTGGGTCTTGTCTTTGAGCCCAAACCTGTAATATTCTTTTCTTTTTTTATGGTGTGCTTGGGTATACAGCATACTGTATGTAGATTATGTATAAAATATTACTATTATCAGCAAAGATCAGCTTAGGCAAACAAACAAACAAACAAAATGTTTACTTAAATATCACTCATATGACACATCACATGTGTATTACAGCATGACCCGTTTAGTTACTCATGTCCCAATCAGGCCATGTGTAGTGATTAGGACAAAGGTTCACACTGAGGGACTCCTCCTAAGATCAGAATAAGACATAACAGAATATAAACTTTGCATTTACTTGTAGATGTAGGCTAGTTTAGTTTGTAAGTTCTGAAGGAATTCAAAGAAGATATTTGGGATCAAAATATCAATGCTATGCTTCCCTATAAAGCAATTAAAATATGCAAATACTAAACAAAAATTAAAAATTAAAAAGGCACCGAACCGAAGATGGTATTGGAGGGATTGAGTAGGGCCTGGTTCTGGGCAGATTCGCCGATGAGGCGTTGAACGTCGTCGAATGCAACCAAAGACGGCGTCGTACGGTTGCCTAAATCGTTGGCGATGACCTCGACGCGGTTGTTCTGCGGCTGCCAAACTGCAACGCAAGAGTAAGTGGTTCCGAGATCGATTCCTATCGCCGGAGCTTCTCTTCCTCTCTTACGGCTCTCCGCCATCGTCTTCCTCCGACCTCTCTTTTACTTTCTCAATTCAGCAAATGCAGGAATGACAGAGGCGGTTTTGCTTTTGGCAACCGCAAAATGAACTTTCCGGTTGGCCTTTTAAATTGTCCCGCCTCCACAATTTTGCAGAACAAAAAAAAAAACCCTAACCTATGCCAACTCAATCTACCTGGTTTGGAGGGCTGGATTGGCATGTCTCCTTATTTTGAAACAAAAAAATTCCCATAATATCCTTTGTAGATCTTTTAATGCATCTTTAAATACTTGGTATGTAATTTTATTTTTAAATTATACATCATTTTTCATAAAAAATGATTTATAAATAATTTCATTAAAAATCATAAACTAAAACATATAATTTAAATTGAGACGATTGGAGTATTATTTGTTCAAATAATTCAGAAAAAAATATTTGGGATCCATTTAAATTTTTAAATAGTGGAGCTCAATATTAACTTTAAATTTTAAATTAAAAGTGTTTTATATGTCATACTCCGTATTATTTTGAAAGTTTTATTTAAGTCATAATTCTATACATATCTAGAAAACAAAGTCTCTACATAATAAACATATAAAGTAAGAAAAAAATGAAAGAATACAAAAATTGAACTGTACTTGGGTTTAGAAAATTGTTGTGGTAGTAACGTTGTTCAAGTTTAATTTGTAAATTTTTTTTTAAATATAAAATTGGATATCTAAAATCTTAATATGTCATTCCACCATATCCAATTTAGTTTTACTTGTTGGATATCGAAACCGAAATCACGAAAAACTAAAATACCAGATCGGGTATTCATTTTTTTGATCTGATTGGCCCCGGATTGTGGATGAATTTTTCGTATCAAATATTTTTAAACACCCGTAACGAACCCCCTCTCCCCCACACCCCTTTTCTTCAATGTTTATTTTTAATATGATTTAATGCGGTGTACATGCCACTCAAAAAATCATAAATTAATACGGAGTATGATTTTGTCCAAGTGTAACACAATTATTAGCAATGTAAGGAGTGCTAAGAGGATAAATAACATCTCAGTTCGATTCTGGGTAACTACGCAGCAAGAACACTATGCTAAACATAGGATCTCTATCAATATCAGGCTTCGCCATTCGCCAATCAAATGATCATCCAAACAAATACGAAGTATGTAAAAAAACTAACTTTAAATAAAAAGAATTTATCTTTATTCATATTTGAAGTTGTATGTTATAAATTTCGATATATGATACTCCCTCTGTCCCCCTGTATTTGTCCACATTTGACTTTTAGAACTGTTCATCTAAGCACTTTGACTCATCAAATTCTCTCAATGTGTAAGCCTAAATATAGTCATGTGTATGTGATCTTGTTTGATTTGTCTTAACATATAGATTATTAATATCTAATTTTTATAATTTTTTAATACACAAATTACAAGATAAAATGGATTAAAGAAGTGCATTGGATGGTGTGTAAAAACGAAAGTGGACAAATACAGGGGGGCGAAGGGAGTATTATTTTATATTCATCATATGTAAATAATATTTTTAAGTCGTTATTGAAAAAAACTGAAAAGAGTTGGAAAAAACTGAAAAGATCCGAAGAAACATGAAAACGTTGAAGAAAATGAAAGAATTGCGGAAAAATAGAAGTTAACCTTTTCAAGCTAGAAGAACAGATCCTAATACATTATTAGTTTTATTATATTTACCTTGCAAAAAAATTTTAAAATATTATTTTATTCAAGTAATATATTATACGGAGTATAAGTTTTTCTTTAATTATCGATCAAAAGTTAATTACTTATTATTGAAAAAAGTTAAAACAAAACAAATCGTCTGAGACGAAGGGAGTATAATTTAACTCTCTAAGAGCTTATTCTCTTCGTCTGATCTTATTGGATTTGATCTAAATTTGTTAAAGTCTTATATGATCTGGTCAAATTTGACATGTTTTAGTTATATTTAAAATTATTTCTAATTTGATTTTAATAATAAAAAAAATTAATAAGAATAAGTTCTAGATAGCAAATTCTAGACACTGATGAATCTTTTTTTTATTTTAGGATGGAGGAGTATTAGAGCATATGAGTGGCGAGGGTTGTGAGTGCCTCGCCCTGCCAACTCAGCAGTATTCCTCCAAAACCATGGCATGGTAACTATTTCTTACTTGACTTGCGAGTAAAGTGCGAGGCACATTTTTTTCTTTTTGTTTTTCTTTTTTAATTTTTTAATTTTTTATTTTGTATAAAAAACAGCTTTGCTTTTTAATAGAGTATGCCTATCTATTTTTGTAAAAAAAAAGATAAATAAAATATTTTTTAATAATTAATATACATAAAAAAAGATTAAAAAGTGTAAAAATAATGACTTGCCACTGCATAGCATGCCACTCCACTCACTTACCACACACTGACTAAGATGTTTTTGATTGGTTCAAATTTTCCACATCACCGTGTGGCATTCCATTTTTGTCTCACCATTGTACATGCTCTTAAGACGAGAATATCACTCCATATCACATAAGGGCATCCATAATGCAAGAAGTCTTGAAACTTTTTCAGACTCTGTCATGTTATTTTATTATTTCTCTTCTCTATATTTTTAGAAAATCTTCTTCAATAATCAGACTTTTTCACACTTTGCCACTTGAACGTTTCACTATTTTTTATTATTTTTATTCACTTTTTTCTATTTAATCATTTATCTACTATATAATTGTATTATGCATTGACTCTTCTACCAAATTTATTCATAAATATAATTAATTATTAAAAAATTAACAACATAAAATATTACGGAGTATTTATAATAATTAAAGAAAATTATATAAAATTAACACACATAAAATACATAAAATTAAGTGAATACAATTCATTAAACTTATTTAAGTAAACACACATAAAATATAAATTGGATAAAATAAAAAAACACAACAAATGAAAATTATATAAACAAACATTATTAAAATATAAAAGCACATGGCATTTAAAAGGTTCATCCCGCTCTAATTTCTTGACCCTTCCTTTCTCTTCAATTTCTTTATGTGTTTTCTTCCCCAAATAAAAGAATTTTTTCAAAATATAAAATTCCATATAATAAAAATTACATAAAATAAAAATAAAAACACTACAAAATAAAATTATATATAAGTCAGCATAATTGATGAATGTGTTTTTTTTTTTGCAATTGGGCAGGATTCATTTTTATTTTAAAAAAATAATTATTATTAATTACACATGTTAGACTTTTTTAAATAGATTCAATTGAGAAGATTCACTTTCATTTCAAAGAGAGTGTTGTTGAAGCTCCCCTTCCTACCCTCAAAAATCGCATGGGGATTCGCTTGGCGCCAAAACAATTTAAGCTTTTGCTCTCTAAAATTAATTCGATCCTTCACAACTTCCATTTCCTTTTCAAACTCTTCCTCACCGGCCACAACAACTCACTGCCATCACCTTCGTTGATCTTCATCTCCTTTCACAAATGTCGGCTGCGAAATCGAGCGCGAAGAAGCGAGTTCTGGAACCGGAGCAGCCGAAATCGGAAGTCCGGAAGCGAGTCATCCTCGAAGAGGACTTCGATGCAGATCTATCCGAGTTCGATTTTTTGTTCATTTATTTTATTCGGTTCTCGTTTTTCCCGGTGATTAAACAGATTGATTTTGTCTGATTTTGAAAAAAATCGTACGGAATTGCAGAGATATCAGTGTTCTGCTGACAGCATTGAAACAGATAAAAGAGAAAGCTCATAAGGACGATCGGAAGAAGAATGAAGAGACGATATCTAGGTGAGTGAGTAGGGCTTGCAGTTTCTCGCGGCTCAAATTTCAGCCATATGCTTAGCTGTGTTTCTGGATTTGGTCAATTTATGGATTCAAACGCTGATTATGTAGATTGTTATGAATTTCAAGTTCATATAATCATATGGAATTGCAGAACGTATTTGTTTGGTTCATTTTGTGCAGTCATTTTGACATGCTACAGACCTGTGTTAGTAAATCCAGCCTAGTGTTTGGGAATAGATCATCTTTGGTACTCAATTTGCTTTTCTATCTGACGACAATGGAAATGACATTATATTGTGGTGGATTTTGTACTGTAATTTTTTTCATCTTCCTTTGTTGCATTTGATTTAGGACATGAATGAGGACAAATGAGCTTTGGAGAGTTTCCATATTGGGGAGCTCCTAAACTTTCACAACACAAATCTAGAATCTCCCAATGAACTTGAACTTCTTATCTAACATGTTTTTGTTTCAAAGAATCCATCACTAGATCAGTATTCATCCTACCTTATCATGCTTTTTTTGACAGTGGTTTTTCAGAAATCAAGGCAAATATCGAAGACGTGAAGTCCAAATTCGAGAAAGAAAGGTGACAAGAAATTCATCTGGTCTTGTGAATTAAGCTGTCATTTGTGAAATACTGCCATAGATTGTCTATGCATTACATGTGTAAAATTTCAGGCAAAACTTCACCAAAGCACTCTCCAAGAGCTCTAAAGAGGTCTGCATCGCTTGGAAAAGAAGCATTTGTTTGTGTTAAAGTGTTGCACACTTGCACTACATTTTTACCATAGAATTAATTTTTAATGTCTTCTTCTTGCTTGCAGTGTGAGAACTTATTGAAGAATGAAAGTGCCAAGTTTCAAGCAATCTATGAGAAGTTCATCAAGGACAAGACTACTCATCTGCAGACTCTGAAAGGTGCTTTATAAAATGTGTTCCCTTTGCTTGTAGTCTTGATTTTCGAAAGTGCAAGGAAACATTGGAGGAGATTTTTCTTGAGTCATTGAGATTTTCAAATTTTAAATGACATTGTGCAGAATAGTTTAATGTTCACGTAAAAGCCTTTAAATAATACAGTGAATACTGACACTGCTGGTAACATTCAACAGACTCTGTGTCCAAGTTTGAGGAAGAGAAACTAAGGTTATTCACACGATATGAGCAACAAAGTGAGTAGCGGAATGCTTTGTTTTCACTGTATTTATTTAAGCTTCGAGAAATCAAGAGACTAATTCTCTTGACTGATTCAGGGAAGAAGGAGAAGAACATGCTGTCCGAACTCGAGAAAGACACTTCGAAAAGATTGGCTGAAATAGAAGAGTCGCTGAAGAAGAAGAAGAAACAGGTAAACTGATGCACTTTCTTTTGATCCCTTCCCTCCATGTTTGCCCCATCTCCTCCACAAACTCAACCTCTTATGTTTATGCGTGTTATTATATTGTTCTTTTGCTCCACAGGATGATAGAACATTTAGCACTCTGAGAAAGAAACTTGGTTCATTTCTGGACAATGCATCTGATGAGGATTTTCTGCTTGATGAGTAAAATGTGGACGAGTCTCGTACGAATAAGAAATTTGAATTACAGCTTTCATATTTGCTAACGCCGTTTCGCAGATCCAGTTACACTTCTCTAGCATTTGTCATAACTTTGTAGAATGCTTGCTATACTTGAGGCAAGCAAGCTTTGAACATACCAATTAATTTCAGTACTAAAATGGTTCCCACCATGAGTGGTCATTTATGATGTTTTCTTGTTAGGTTGGAGTTTATGATTTCAGGTTTCACAGTTAAGTTTGCTTGCTACATTAAAACTAATGATATTAACTTTATATTATAATGATATGAAGTTTGTACAACTGAAAGAAAATTTTCTTCATTTTTTTTATTTCTTGATACAAAAATTTTCTTCATATGATGATCAAAGTATACATACTTTGCCAAAAAAGAAAGATAAAAGAAAAGTTTTGGTAGTTAAATTTGGAGCAATTTAGGGTAAAAGAGTGGGTTGGGACTCCCAAGTCCCAACTTGGGAGTGTCAATTGATGGGCAGCTGCTATGTTTGGAAAAAATGCCTATAGCATCGCATTGTTACTTTTTAAGGAGTATGTAGTTTGCATTATGTACATCTTGATAGATTACTAGAAAGTTATGCACACATGGCCAACACTATGATGGCATTGACCTATTTGATTTGAAAACCTCGTTTAGATGGCATGGTTTTATTTACACTAGCATTGTTTCAAGAAATTTGGAAGAAAAAAAATCTCCTAATTTTCTCATCGAAATGAAATAAATTTGATTTTCCCTTATCATTTTCTTTTCGTTTGACTTTTTTTTCTTCTCTAACCAAACAAAAAAAAATATTTTTTATCTATTCTCTTCTTTTCCCTTTCATATTTCTTAAACCAAACATAATATTGTAATATAATAATAATAGTAGTAGTAATTATAATAACAACAACAATCACTCAAAACTAATAATAATAATAATAATAATAATAATAATAATAATAATAATAATAATAATAATAATAATAATATGAATATGAATATGAAACATCCATCTTTTCATGTCATCATGCAATGTAAACCTTTATACATCAGTCCTCGTTTCATTAGGACCCTTCTTTAAAATAAAATTTAAAAAAATTGCAAAATAAAATGGTAAAGGCTCCCTCTTGAATTCATCATCCTCAAGCACCTTTCTTCTTTTGATTCTTCGCTTGCTTGATATCCTTCGTCATCAACCTTGGCGCAATGGCCATTGCCATGAGCTCTTGGAACAACAATTTGCAGGCATAGGGAATGTGAACCTGAACAAACAAACAAACAAAAGACCAAGAAAACCATCACATTCATTTTACCACGGCACGAGGAGATCTAAATGGGAAAATGCAGAAAAATTGTGCGAGAAACAACGTGTTGTAATGTACCTGGACAATATCGGTCTTGTTCTTGCACCCTCGGCACTCAAAAGAGTTCTTCTTGAGGTTAGCTATGGCAATCAACCCACAATGTTCACAGATGTGAACCCTATAGGCATCACTCTGGTCAAACAATCTCTCCTTGAGAAAATGAGCAGCCCCATGGGCAATCATGCAATCACGTTCCATCTCCCCAAACCGCAGCCCTCCATCACGCGATCGGCCCTCTGCCGGTTGCCGTGTCAGAATCTGCACCGGTCCCCTCCCCCTAGAATGGATCTTGTCGTCAACCATATGCTTCAGCCTCTGGTAGTAAGTGGGCCCCAGGAAGATCATAGCCGTGAGACGTCTCCCAGTGTGGCCATTGTACATGGTCTCAAACCCACGCATCTGGTACCCACACTTGTGGAGTGCCTTGCTTATGTTGTCCACAGTGACATCAGTGAAGGGAGTGGCGTCTCCTTCTTTCCCCATGTGGGCCGCAACCTTTCCCATGATACACTCAATCAGCTGACCAATGGTCATACGCGAAGGTATAGCGTGGGGGTTGACGATAATATCAGGGGTGATGCCCTCCACAGTCCAGGGCATGTCCTCTTGTGTGTAGGTCATGCCAACAGTCCCTTTCTGACCATGCCTACTGCTAAACTTATCCCCAATCTGAGGAATCCGTACCGATCTAACCCTCACCTTCACAAACCTCAACCCATCGGCATTTGTAGTCAGTAGGACCTGGTCAACCATCCCATTTTCGCTGTGACGCAAGCTGGTACTATGGTCACGCTTGGTGTAACGGGCAGCTTGCCCTTGTGCGTCATCCTGGGAGATGGGGGTAGTTTTGCCAATTATCACGTCCTCACCAGAGACTCGAGTCCCAGGTGGGGCCAAACCATCATCGTCCAGTTTGTCATAGGATCCGTGTCTCATCCCCATGGTGTTGGACCTGTCAGGGCGACCAAAGTCCTCTTTCACCAGTGTCCCCATCTTTTTCTCTTCATCCCTATACGAGCGGAAGAATAGAGATCTGAAGAACCCACGGTCAATGGATGACTGGTTCATGATGACAGAATCTTCTTGGTTGTATCCGGAGTAACATGCAATGGCCACAATGGCATTAATGCCAGCAGGCAACTGCCTGAAGTGTAAATGTTCCATAGCTCGAGTGGTGACAAGCGGCTTCTGAGGATAATACAGCACATACGCCAACGAATCCTGAAAAAGAAGTTAAATATTTTTAAAATGGTAGTAACAATAATAATACTCTGTAATTCACATACACATTTTGCAAAGTTCATGAATGCACAGAAGAGTATGTGGTTTTTCAAAAAAAAAAAAACATACCATACGAAACTGATAGTTGGTTACATAAATTCCCATTGCCTGCTTTCCCATAGCCGACTGGTACGTATTACGGGGAGACTGAAAAATAGAATTAACAGTGCTTTAGATGGTGAAGAAAAACATATGCCTCTGAAGGGGGTGGGGATGGGGGGAATACAAGTGTTACAGTGAAGTACCTGGTTATGGTCAGGAAAAGGAATAATGGAAGCACAGACACCCAATATTAGTGAGGGGTGAATTTCACAATGAGTATACGTATCAGAATAAGCCTCCCCTGGATTCATTCTTGCTTGTATGAGATCCTGGATTGAAAAATTAATGTGGACATATCAGCATTCTTAAACCTTAAATCAACATTCATCTCACCTTGGTTTAGCTGTTCTTTGATTACTTACATGGAGACTAATTAAGGTACCGGGTTATTTATCATTAAAAGGAAAAGCTTGCTTGAGTGTATAATTTTCCCAAAACAAAAAAGGAGATATAAATTGCAAAGTTAATTTCTTGATCATTTATTAATTAATATAAGCCATAGATAACTCTCTAAAAACAAGATGATAATTAAAAAAATCCTTTCCAATCCCCATCCAAAAGCCCTTTCCCATACATACCCTAATGGTCATGCTTATCATAGTTGTTTCTTCCTCTTCAGTATCGATGTACTCAATAAATCCCTTGGCCACCAAATCATGCCAACCACCTTCTTCTGGAGATTCCTGAAATCAAAAAAGGAGAGAAAATTATGGAATAAGTTGAGAAATTCAAAGAGATGACAAGGGAGCATGATTTCTATTATTGGGTAGTTTCTCTTATATTCTATGTCCCATCTATCTTATTCCTTTAGTTTTGTGGAGCAAATAAGGTCCAAACTCAATTTGTGGAAAGTTTCTAGTATCTTTATGACAAAATAGACAAGAGAAGCATTGACTTCAAAAAAAAAAAAAAGACAAGAGAAGCATTTGAAGGACCTCCCTTGTGATACGTAAAACCATATTTTCGTGCACCTCACTGAATATTCATATCTTAACAGGAGCACTTAAAAGTTCATACGGAGTATTTAAAAAAAAGAGTAATCATCCTTTCACAAATCATCAAAATGATTTCTTTGAGTGTGCCACAATCATGGATCTTAACCCAAACTTATGCATATAAACTAGGACAAAATACCCTTAATTGCAATGCTTGTATGTCTCGCTTCTTAATGAGAAGTCGTTGCTTCTCAACAATAAATAATGGGCGACTGCAACGGCCATAGTCAGTGTATATCCGTAGTTCCTTCAAACGGGTATCACGAACTACCCCAACCTCTGTATTGACATCAACCTGATGGCCCAAAAAACATGCAAATGTTTTATTAAAGAGCATTAATAAGCAGCAAAAAAGAAAAAAAATATAGGACATTAGAGGGGGGATTTTTATAGGTCAGTTTAGGGATGTTTAGAAGCAAACAAGACAGAAAATCTACTAATGATCAAATAAAATCTCAAAGGCATAAAATATTCATAAACAGGATTGAATGGAGAATGCCCCTTGGAGCATTTTTTGTTGAGCAACCCAAAATGATTCATCAATAGCAATGTGCCTCAGTAGCAATGTGTTCAATATGAGTCTTGAGATCAGATACTCACCCGTCTTCTTAACTGTCTAAGTGTTCTGACCAACTTATTAGGGTCACGGTGGATTCCAATCCAACTACCATTGACGAATATTTTTGTGGCATGTGGAATGACAGCAGGAGATATTTCCTACAATCAGACAGTAAGTTATTGCAAACCCACTAAATAATACACCTGCTCCTAAAAATAATATTTACTAACCTCAAAGTTCTCTGTGCCCCATTCCTCCAAAAACTCCAAAATTGGATATGCTGCTGATCCAACTGTTATATACACCATCAATGCTAGATTCTTCACCAGACCACATGCCTGATGGCATCATAAGAAAGACCATCAAGTAATTTACAAAAAATAAAGAATAACACGACAGCACCCCCACCCTCATGCATAAGAATTCCAAAAAACAAATTACTTGTCCTTCTGGTGTTTCTGCAGGACACATCATCCCCCATTGAGAATTGTGCAATTGCCTGGGTTTAGCGAGTTTCCCTGTACAAGGATCATATCAATAGTAAAGATTAGGGCAAAGAGAGCAAAACCGACAAAACGCACAGCACCAACTAAATTCATCCCCCACCCACCAACACAAACCCCAGAAAAAGGGAAGAGAAAAAATATAGTGAGCAAAAGCAAAAGCAACAAAAATATAAATTTAGATACATGAATTGACCCAAATTTATTTAGCATTAACAGGACAAGCCCAAAAGGGGGAAGTCAATTACCTTCACGTCCTATTGGAGAATTCAACCTTCTCAAGTGTGATAGAGTTGAGGCATATGTCAGGCGATTCAACACCTGAAATATCAGGGGAAAAAATCCAGGGTAATTACTCTCCCAATAGAGAAAATCTGATGGCAAAGCTTTAAAAGATGTAAGAATCCCTACCTGAGAAACACCAGCCCTTGTACCTGCCGCATTTGCTTGTCCCCAGTTTCCAGTAGACAGTGAATACTTAAGGCCACTTGTAATGGTTTTGGCTTTGATTGCAAATTGCAAATTAACATCTTTACCATTGTCAACACACTAAGATGCAAATTAACAAGTCAGGAAAAAGTTAAAACAAAACCATTATTGTAGTCACATACACTGTAAGTGAAATGATTACGGTTGAACCTAGTAATTAATTTTTGAATAGAAATAAACCTTTTGAACATAAGATCTAACATCCCGAGTTAACTTCCTGAAAAGCTGCACAGAGAATGAAACTCATAAAAATTTAAAAATAATGTGCCAAAGAGGCTAAATTGCATACATGTACCAACATAAGACACTCCACAGACCATTCGGAATAAACCACCAAGCAAAGGACCAGCAAGATCCAATCTCTTGTTTCCATAATGATCCCTATCATCCTCAGCCCTTCGGCCAAGTGCGCACAATAGAAGCCGGTGGATGATATAGCTGACATATGCAGAGAGTAACATCCTCAAGAATACACCATCACTACAATCTCAAAATAGATTTTACGTTCAACGGAAACCTACCCAAAATAGTAAGCTTTCTTTGTCTCACAATATTCTCCAACCCCGACATGAGGAAGCATTTCTTTCTGAAGGATATCTTTGGCATACCTGTAAGGTAAAACCAAGAAGGTATGCATATGGCTGAAGTTTTAAAAGGTGCAAAGAATAGATAAAGCCAAGGTTATGCATACTTGATCCTCTTCTCCTTTGAAACACCACCAACTGTAGCCCCTCTTTTTCCAATGTAATCTAAAGCAACCTGAGCATCAACCCAATAAAAACAGGAGCATGAAAACCATGGAACTTGACCACTTGTTAGTAGTTCAAGATATAACATAGAATAAATGAAATATAAAATTCTATAAAAGGGACCTGTTGGTTCTGAATTACGAACGCTTCTTCCAAAGAGGGCCGCAACAACTCCATCATTTGTGTATCATTAAAATCATAGCAGATATGTTCGAGAATATCTTTGTCTGCCACAAAACCTAAAGCTCGGAAAACAATTATAATAGGAATTTCTGTCCTGATATATGGAAGTGTGGCACGAATATATTGACCCGAAGAACCCTGCATAACATAAGCACATAAAAAACTGGTCAATACGTTTTAAATGTGTATCGTTATATTGTCTCATTCCTAGTTTGCCATGTATTGTTATCATTATATTGTTGCCATTTTGTCAATATTACCCCTTTTGCACTAGTTCGTGAGAGCATTCGCACAAACATGGTACTCGGTGGCCTGTTTTGAGACTCTGCCATTGACCGAACTTCTGCCACGTATGCATACTTGTTTGGTTGCCGCTTCTTGAAGACATAGACATGATTGGTGCTCATCTTTTCCTGGGCAATCAGAACCTTTTCACTCCCATTGATTATAAAATAGCCACCTTGATCATATGGGCACTCTCCAAGTTCTGTCAGATCTTTCTCTGAATTTTGATACAATGTGCAGTAACTTGATCTAAGCATTATAGGAACCTAATCGTCCAGAAAGAAAAGATCACAATCACCGAAATCAAGTTATAGTGATAACCCCCAAACTCAAACTCAATCAAACATGTAGTTCATTCACCTTCCCGATGAAAACTTTAGTGAAGTCCTGAGTTTCAGTAACCTCTTCACCATCATGCCCTTTCTTGATGACTCTCTTGGTGACATCCACATAGAGTGGAGCAGAGTATGTAAGGTTCCTTAACCTTGCAGCCTTAGGGAACAAGGTTGCAGTTTCACCATCAGACTCTGTCATCATGGGCTTACTAAGGTAGATTTGTCCAAAATTGATTTTGTAGATAGTCTGCAAATAAATCCACAAATCATATCAATCACCTTTCAGACTTAGAGAGAACCATTCATTTTTATTCATTAGAAAAATTGATATCTTTCTTAAGGGTTACATAATGTACCAAAATCAGTTAAGGCGACACTTGTGTGTCCAACGTGATCCAACATGGAATGTTAATAAAAGCAACCAACCATTAACCTTTTTTATTGAAAAAAAAACTAGTTTCAATCAAGTTCAATAAACCATGACAGCCAACGAGTGAACCTATAACTTGTTTGTAGTTGAGAGATGAACATAAAATATATGTAGTACAAAAGTTGTGTGCTGTTACAGAAGGTAGAGTTTTAGATTTCCATACACATTAAGTTCATACAACTTTCCATTGACTGAAAACATCCATCCTCAACTATGAGCTATCAATTACTCTTACATCATAATTTCAAGGTATAATACAGAAGATTTTAAGTTGATAGGATAGAAGGTTTAAGCAACTGCATCTTCATCTGCAAATGGGTAAATCATTTTCTTTATACAAGTTTTATAAGAAAAGGGGTCATGACTCCAATATGCAGTTAATAGACTTGTTTTTTTTTTGAACAATATAGACTTGTGATATTGTAGATTATATCCATACTAATCAATTGAACACCAACTGTCGCTGACTCTCAGAATTTTAACAAGTTTTCAAGCATAGACAGTGTAAGAATAGCTATCCCCACAACGCAGCCGACAGAATGGAGCCAAGTCTTGATATACAAACTTCTAATGTCCATAACAGATAGCAAGATCAAACGCTTTAAAGTTAAAGCTGCACAATTAAGTTGTGTCATAGTCGACTTTCAAGCTGAAAAGTTTGCCATTCTTCTCTTTTGGAGCCAAAGAAATTCGAAAGCTGTGATTTTTACGGCAACCAACCACTAGAATTGAATTCTAAACCCTGCATTATCTCGCAACCCTAACCAGAACTTAGGTCTAAATGAAGGGGGGAAGCCCCTACAAAGAATTGGAAGGGCACCAAGATGAACTGAATTGGGCTTTCCTCCTCCAAAGTCATTCTGAACGCCCTAGAGGTGGGACTAAGCAATTGCGCTGAAACTTAGCCCTATTTTCCCAAAGAACCCTAGGAAACATATCTATGACCGACCTCGGCAAAATCCGACTGGTGACCGGGGTTATGCTGAGACTCGGGTCGGATCTCAATATCAGCAGACTCGTCGACAATCTCTTGCATAGTGTTCTGGATGAACTCGTCGAAAGAGTCAAGCTGCTGCCTAACCAGACCCTTCTCCTCAAAGTACGCACTTATCACCGCCCACGCGTCTTCCTGCGTTATCTCCTCCTCCTCCTCCTCTTCCTCCTCATTATACTGCTGTTCATACTCTTCATCCAAATCCATTCTTCAGATTTCTTATCTCTCACTCTCTCTCGGCGCTCTCTCTCTCTCTCTCTCGTTCTCTCGCTGAATCTCGATAGCGAGGTAACCTCCGCCTCTCGCGATCTCGAGAACAGAGATCTCTTCAGTGAGGCTGCAAACGAAGCCCCTCGGGTCCTATATATAGACGTTCGGGGAGTCGGATACCCCAAAAACACCTAAATACAGGCCAAGCCCAAATTTACTGGTAGTCAAGTAAGCCCGCCCAAAAAAGCCCATAGGTAAACTAGTAAAAGTTGTTGTCTTGGACTTGAATTTTTTAAGTGCGGCCCGGATGGTCCGTAATTAATGGGGGCCCGTAAAGTTATGGACCGGACTCAGGTTTTTGTGGTCTGGTCTGCGGGCCGGGCCGACAAAATAAAATTAAATATATTACTACCTCCGTCCCGCTATATTTGTCCACTTTTAACTTTTGGAATTGTTCATCTAAGCATTTTGACTCATCAAATTCTCTCAATATGTAAGCCTAAATATAGTCATGTGTGATCTTGTTTGATTTGTCTTAACATATAGATTATTAATACTCCCTCCGTCCCACTC